TGCTGGAAGAGTAGCACAGCAAGCTGTAGGCAATCCAGGAGGCTCCTGGAGTGCATTGAAGTTAACTTCTTAAGCCAGGTAATAGGCAGCCCAGCAGAGGGGATGCAATACTGGCCCTGAGGGTCACCAAGGCAAATGAGCTAATTGGTGAGATGAAGACTGGAGGCAGCCTAGGCTGCGGTGATCATGCACTAGCAGAGTGCGCAGTCCTGACAGACATGGGTCCGGGGAAGAGTAAAGTCAGGACCCTAAATTTTAGGAAAGCAAACTTCCAGCTCTTTGAGGAGCTGGTCAATAGGACCCTCTGGGAAAGTGCCCTCAGGGACAAGGGAGCAGAACAGAGCTGGCAGATCTTTAAGGAAGCTTATCTGAGTGTGCAAGAGCTCTCGATCCCCAGGTGTAAGAAATCAGGAAAGGAAGGCAAGAGACCAGCACGGCTGAGTCAAGACCTGCTGGTCAAACTAAAGGTCAAGGAAGAGATGCACAGGCAGTGGCAGCAGGGACAGGTGTCCTGGAAAGAGGGTAGGGACGCTGCCCAGTTGTGTAGGGATGGGGTCAGGAAGGCCAAGGCTGTGGCTGGAGCTGAACTTGGGAAGGGACACAGAGAATAATAAGAAGGGCTTCAACAGGTATGTCACCCAGAAAAGGAAGGTCAATGAATGTGTACCCACACACCCCCCCGCCCCGATGAGCAAGACTGGCAAATTGGTAACAAGGGACAAGGAGAAGGCTGAGGTACTCAACAACTTTTTTGCCTCAGTGGCATACCTGGCAACCTTTCTCACCACACCTCTCAAGTGGATGGAGTGTAAGGCAGGAACTGGGTGAGAAAAGTCCCTGCCACAGTAAGAGAAGACCATGTTCGTGAGCACCTGAGGAACCTGAACATACAGAAGTCTATGGGACCTGATGAGATGCAGCTCAGAGTCCTGAGGGAACTGGCTGATGTAGTTGCCAAGCCACTTTCCATGTGGCTGTCAGGTGAAGTACCCAGTGACTGGAGAAACGGAAACATTGCACCCATTTTTAGAGAGGAGGACCCTGGGAACTACAGACCTGTCAGCCTCAGCTCTGTGTCTGGGAAGGCCATGGAACAGATCCTCTTAGAAGCTATGCTAAGGCATGTGGAGGACAGGGAGGTGATTTGAGACAGCCAGCATGGCTTCACCAAGGGCAAGTCCTGCCTGACCCACTTTGTGGCTTTCTGTGATGGAGTGACTACATCAGTGGACAAGGGAAGAGCTATAGATGTCATCTACGTGGACTTCTCTAAGGCCTTTGACATGGTCCCCCACAACATCCTTCTTTCTAAATTGGAGAGTTATGGATTTGATGGGTGGACTGTTTGGTGGATGAGGAATTGGTTGGATGGTCACATCCAGAGCGTAGTGGTCAATGGCTCAATGTCTAGATGGAGATCTGTGACAAGTGGCATCCTTCAGGGTTCCATATTGGGACCAGTACTGTTCAATGTCTTCATCAATGACATGAACACTGTGATCAAGGGCACCCTCAGCAAGTTTGCCAACAACACCCAGCTGAGTGGTATGGTTCACATGCTGGAGGTACGAGATGCCATCCAGAGGGACCTGGACAGGCTGTTGAGGTGGGCCCATGTGAACCTCATGAGATTCGACAAGGCCAAGTCCAGGGTCATGCCACTGGGTTGGAGCAACCACCAGTATCAATAAAGGCTGGGGCATGAAGGAATTGAGAGTAGCCCTGCCAAGAAGGACATGGGGGTACTGGTGGATGAAAAGCTGGACATGAGCTGGCAATGTGTGCTTCCAGCCCAGAAAGCCAACCATATCCTGGGCTGCATCAGAAGCATCATGGCCAGCAGGTCGAGGGAGGTGATTCTGCCCCTCTACTCCACTCTTGTGAGACCCCACCTGGAATACTGTACCCAGCTCTGGGGTCCCCAACATAAGAAGGACATGGACCTGATGAAGTGAGTCCAGAGGAGGGCCACAAAGATGACCAGAGGGCTGGAGCACATCTCCTCTGCATACAGGCTGAGAGAGTTGGGGTTGTTCAGACTGGAGAAGTCTCCAGGGAGACCTTATAGCAGCCTTCCAGGTCTTAAAGGAACTGGAAGGGACAGTTCTACAGGAAAGATGGGGACAAACTTTTTAACAGGGCTTGTTGCGATAAGACAAAGGGTAATGGTTTTAAACTACAAGAGGGTAGATTTAGACTAGATAAAAGGAAGAAATGTTTTACAATGAGGGTGGTGAAACACTGGAACAGGTTGCCCAGAGAGGAGGTAAACGCGCCATCCCTGGACACATTCAAGGCCAGGTTGGATGGGCCTCTGAGCAACCTGATCTAGTTGAAGATATCCCTGCTCATTGCAGCGGGGTTGGGCTAGATGGCCTTTAAAGGTTCCCTTCCAACTGAAACCATTCTATGATTCTTTGATTCTATGAAATCAATCAAATACTCAAACCCAAGGTGTGTATATACATCTCTCCAGTATCTGTCTATGTATAATCAACATGTCTAAGGCAGCACAAACATCTCCTACCAAAACAAGGCCAGACATGGGTGGGCAGGCACGGTGTCGCGGTCCTAAGGGCCTCCTCCCTTCACACCCGGCCCTTAGCCCAGGAAGAGCACCCACCTCGTGCCAATGCCTTTCCACCCTGACTTTAAAAATTTGCTTTTCTTCCCTCTCTTCCACCTGTTCATCAGCTTCAGTCTCATGGAGATACTTCACCAGTCGCTGTTACTTTTGGTTTCAAGGGTGTTTTTTTCCTCAGCCTGTGTGTCCAGTAGCACCTCAGGGTTCAGCCCAATCTCCCACTTTTTACAGGTTGCTGTTTTTGAGGTGGTACCTCCATAGACGCAGCCCCCGCCTTTCCCGTACAGTGTAATTACTGAAGCACATAAAGCAGTTATAGCAGGAATTTATCACTTTCAGGTAGAAATACTCCTGGCCAAATAAAAGATAGAGCAGGA